AAGAACTCAGTATCATGAGGCTCAATTGCATTGTCCCAATTCCAAGCTGTTTGTTGACTCTGAGTGATTACATTGAATAACTCTGCTTGTGCAGCCTCCTYGTGACTCATTCCTGAAGCTTCCGAATCATAATTAGGCTCAGTTTCATCAACAACCTCCTCATCACTTGAGCTTTCATCATCCTCAAACAAAGTTTCCACATCTGATTCTAACTGGAACGCTGCTTCAAAGGCGGATTCTTGGGACTGAAAGAGAGCTGGTGATGGTTGTTGTCGTAAGGCTGGTTCTTGTCGTGTTGTCCTTGTTCTTGATGAACGTCGGTTGGTTATATTGTTGAGTGGCATCGATAATGTTGATATTGGTGAATAGTGCTGATACTGTTGCTGAGCGTTGCTGCTGATTACTGCTGGTGGTGGGAGTCGTTGATTCGTTGATATCGTCGATTCGTTGATAGTAACGTCGCATGTGAAGCTTGCTTGGATTGATGGTGTTGCTGATAGTGTTGCTGATAGTGTTACTGATACTGTTCCTGATACTGTTCCTGATACTGTTCCTGATACTGTTGCTGAGCGTCGCTGTTGATTACTGCTGATTACTGCTGCTGATGGGAGCAGTCGAACGTTGCTGATATCGTCGATTCGTTGATAGCATCGATGCGTTGGAAGCTTCCTTGGATCTATTGTTGCTGGTGATACTGTTGCTGATACTGTTGCTGATATTCTTGCTGGAGATGAACTGTTGCTTTATAGTGTGGCTGATTAATGTTGATGGAGGGGGGGCAAGAAGATGTCGGTTGTCGGAACGACGAGAAGCGCTCTCACTGGAATTATGGTAGCTTCCTCACATGGTTGTGAGGACTCCTCTGTGTCCAACAATTTACAACAAGTTGCCTTCCTGCAATCAGCATCATGAAGGATCAGTATTGGTGCAGCATCGGATGTTATTTTAGGTAAATATGTTCATCAAGAAGTTATTTCAAGCACTCTGACAGACATCGTGACAAAAATTCCATAGAAAAAATGGTGTGTTCTGACAAGATTTCGTGATGTCAGTCGGCGCGCTCGGCATATTTTAAACGGGAAAAGATGGCCGCTAATCCAAGGTTTAAACCGTACATTGGCTGGCCAAGCCTATACGATACAGCACCATCAAAGCCAAGTTCTAGCTCCACCCAAGACTGAGAAAATTGTGCAAAGAGCATCAGTTTCCTGAGAATTGCAATGGGTGCAAGCAGCAAGGCCAAGGTTTTGGTCTAATCCCCCTAGAGAGGCCCTGATACAATGTTGGAACAAAGTTTGTGTCAACCTGATTGGTTCATGCAAGGTAGCACTGGGTAACCTAGAACTCATCTTCATTGCACTCACCTGCATCAATGCAGTTACCAATCTATTACTAGAAATATACAGATCAACAACAAGTCTGGTGAATATGTTGCTGAAAAGTTTGCTAACTGTTGGCTATTGAGATACCAGACCTAACAGATRCATTCACGATAGCAAAGAAAGCGCTTTAGCAATGATATGAGAATTATCCATTGGAGTAGGATGACATCAAGCTCTGTAGGACCAAACCTGATWGGCTACGGTACCGCTTCTCAATTTTCGTAGCTAATATTGGGTGATTCCCGTTATTCTAAAACTCTAACGCTCTAAAGTTAGAGTTTTAGAATAACGGGAATCAGAATATCAACGGACAGACTGAGAGGCAGCCCGCCTTCAATCGACTCTTAATGGGAATCCGGAATCTTGTATGTACTCTAAAAATAGGCGCGCGCGCCACTTTGTTGGTACTAAGAAAAACATGAAAATTTGCACCTATAGTTTGCACTTATACTCTGCTGCACCTATACTAGCAGTACTCTCACTAGAGTAAAACATGAACACAGTTTCTGCTCATTATTTCTGATTCGGTCCCAGGAAATGAATTCATGTTTTACGCTAATTAGTAGCCTGTGAGTTGACAACAAACACACTAAAAGACAACAGTTTCCTCCCAGCAAGAAGAAAGGTTTCATCAAACGCAATGGGAGTAGTGGAAGTGATCACGATGTACTGGTACATCCACCTCAATAACCAAAGTTACAAGCAAAAGCTGTCTCCTGAGGAGCGTCRTAGGAGGGACAGGAGAACACCTAGAATTGCAATCAGGAGATACGCKAATTCCCCTTTCCTATACTTGTTCCACTCAGGGGATGACCAAGCTCTCCTAAACTGCTGTGGCATCGACCACAAGGTCTTCAGGGAGCTTGTTGACCTTTTTGCTCCAGTATGGAACAAGTTTACTGTCAACAACAACAATGAGATTGTTGAAGTTCCTTGTT